TCCTTTGGCGTATTTATTCTCATTGCGACTGAAGCTGCCGTCCACTGGTTTCGCCATTTTGGTGGTCATATACCTGTTGACAGGAGTGGCCCTATCGTTGATCGTGTTTTTCGTGGGCGCCATCAAACCCAAAGCGCTGGAAGTGACGTCAGGCATCGCAAACATACTGCCCGTGTATGCCATGGGTCACGGCATAGAGAAGCTGTACAAACTGGGCTCATACCAGACCGCGTGCAAACAGATGTCTCGCGAGCACCTGGAGAGACGGTGTAAAGACATTGAGTCCAAAGGACAGAATGAATACTACGGTTGCTGTGAGAGTGTGTGTCGACCCAAACACGAGTGTTACGACGACTTTCCAATGGGATATAAATTATGGTATGGCATCGAATTGTTCAGTATCAATTTTTAATGCGATGACTGATTCATTGTTTTCTTGCTAATAGGGATAAGCATTGAGCTGACATACCTCATAGTTACCGGTGCTGTATATGTGTTTATAATGTGGTTTATTGAAGGCAATTGGGAACGCCTTACATACATGTTTAGCACACAAAAAGTACAGACATCTGATAATGGGTCGGTCTATATGGGAACCAATGTTCAGCAAAATGTTGCCATAAATATGGGCACAGGAGTAGTTGGGAGTGAACGGCGCCGGAAAGACAACCACTTTTCGTATGCCTACCGGCGATGAGACGGTCAGTGATGGCAACGCATGGATCGACTCATTGGCGTTGAGACAACACTTGCAGGCCTTCCAGAAAAGGGTCGGCTATTGTCCACAGTTTGACGCTTTGCTCAACAAAATGACGGGAAGAGAGACTCTATTCTTCTTCTACCGACTCAGAGGTATGTGCGAAGACATGATCGACACATACGTCAAGGAGTTGACAGCAATGGTAGACCTCATCCCTCACGTCGACAAATGCACCGAAACTTACAGCGGAGGCAATCGACGCAAACTGTCTCTCGCTATAGCCCTCTGTGCCGCCCCTCCCGTCATATTCTTGGGTACAGTTCCTCACAAACACTCATTGTGTGCATACATCTCATACATCCCTTTCCCCCACAGATGAGCCCACATCAGGAGTGGATCCGTCGGCGCGACGCAAGATATGGTCGACTCTGACGTCACTCCAGAAGACGTATGGCTCGGCTTTTATACTGACCTCCCATTCCATGGAGGAGTGCGAAGCCCTGTGCGCTCGGGTGGCTATTATGGTCAACGGCAGGTTCCAGTGCTTGGGATCTGTTCAGCACTTGAGACAC